TTCTTCTTCTGAAGAAGAATAGTGAACTATTCAAAAATGCATGAGTTTTGGATCTCGTTTAAAAACCATTACAACTTTTATATATGACCCTGTGTGTTAATTTTTTAATGAATATATATTAAAATACTCAAACAATTGATGTTGTATAACACACAATTAAAATTATTTAAAAACTGATCAATGGTCATAAAAGACACATTACATGTTTCGACATCCTGAGGATGACATTAATGACGTTGAAACATGTAGAGTGTCTTTTATGGCCATTGTTCAGTGTTTAAATAACAATTTTAATTAAGTATTATACAATGTTGATTGTTTGAGTATTTTAATATATTTTAGATAGCTAAGGTATATTAATCTTTTGGCTGACCAGATTTTCTTGGCATTATCTGCTTTTCCCTCCCCTGTTTTTAAGATGAACATGCAAATTTCCTTCATTATCACAACATAACTATGATTAAACTTTTTGTATTTTTTACAGTGTTAGTTTTTTTTCCCACAAAATAACTTAAGATGATTGTTGTATATGTTTCTGTATTACAGCTCGTGATGAGTTTAAGATCAAAGTTGATTTACAAGAAAAAGAGATTTTAGATCTTCAGCAAAAGGTAAATAAAATAGTGGTCTTGTTCAGATAAATTAAGTTTTACAGCTATGAGTGTTAATATTTTTTTTTAATTTAAATTATCAGTGAAGAAGAGGATTTAATATGGACACTATTTAAATGTAATTTTAAACCATACTAGTAGGTTAACCCATTGATTGCTGATTCACTGTGTAGGGTACAATCTGCCTTCGGCAGTTGAATGTGAGTGTACTGTATACAGTGCGGCTCACAAAAATTCCGTGTCCATTTAAAGCAGCCGCAGCCAAAGGGTTAATTGTAAAGTAAGTACTGAGCAGTCTTTAGAATTATGTTTAAGTTTTGTTACATCCTTCAGTTAACATTTATCTAATCTTAGATATCGTCCTTTTCATTGCAGTTCGTGTGTCTACGATCACATATTTTATTCATAGTCAGTTTGCTTCAAGTATTAGTGTGTAAAATGAGATGATTTTCAAATTATTCAATAATGTGAAACTTTAAGACCTATCTATTCCTTGTGTTGGTTAGGCTATATTGGTGACATTGTTCAACATTTATATATATATATATATAACATATCCATACATTTTTATTTTTCATAAGGTAGGTTTATCAGCAAGATTTATGTCAGACAGATGGCAGCACTGGTATTTTAAATATTTCCTCAATAGATCATCAGAACTTTACAATACTATACAGTGTTTCTTTTTATAACAATATCTATGAAATGACTGAGTCTCAAGTTCTAAGAATATTGTAAATATCATAGCAAAAAGTTTGAATTTCTTATTCTTCTTTCTTTTGCTTCTTTTTTATGACATGATAATTCAAAAAACACGACAACGGTGTCAACCAATTTCACTGAGATGACATAGTCTCAAAAGGAGTATCTGCTTTTATAGGTATTATTATTAACTAGTAATTAAGAAATCATAATTCTAGTGTAAATGATGTTATCATTACTTCTTGAAGTTAGCTTTTGTACAGAAATTTGTTGTTTCTTTAAAAAACTTAAGTATAGGGTGAAATATTATAGTTGGAACCTCATTGTATTTAGAACTTGGTTAGAAATACAACCTTCCTATGTCTATTGAAACACTGCATTAAAAAAAAACAAGTAAATAAATAAAGAAAAAATTTTTCTAAAAAGGAAGTAAATGTAGGGATGGCTAATATCAGTCCTTCAAAAACGATGCAAACAAGATAGAAGAGATGGTATTTGCATCATCCCTACATAAGAACACATGCAATATATATAACTATTCAATCACAATTGAGTTCATTCTATCCTATTATTTCTCTGTTAACATTCTACTACACTGTATGCTTATGCTATTATGCAGGGATGATGATGATGCAAATGCCATCCCTACTATCTTGTTTGCATTATTTTTGAAGGATTGATATTAGCCATCCCTACATTTACTACCTTTTTTGAACATTTTTCTTTATGTACACATTAGGTGCATCAAGTTTACTTAGTCGAAAATTCTGTTTTGTAATTGCTAATCAGCAGAGTGTGCAATAGTTGCCATTTATTATAAGAATTAATCTTGTGCAGTATGAAACTCCTCCAATTATATCTTCAACTGCTGCAAGCGAACCAAAGTTTTTAAAAAAAAGTGTATCATCACTCAACCATGTAAAATATTTAATTAACAACGACTTAATTGTTTCAAACTCAGAAGATTCTAATGTTGCTAATACTGCACTTTATACAACAAAATCCTAAAATAAATAAACAAATGAGGACACCACTTCCAATGGTACAGAGAGAAGCTGACAGATAATGTATTTCAGGTGGAGCTGCTGCAGCCGTTACCACAGCTGTTTTTGAAGATATGGGCATTATTCAAGAAAATGACAATACTAAAATTGTTGATAAAAACAAGATATGATGTGAACGAGAAAAATACAGAGAAACATTACTGACTTCTGATGACACAAATTATATTAAATCTATCTACTTAGATGATATAAAAGATATAACTAAAATTGTCATTAAAAATGGGCAAAAACATTATAAACATGTAGTCATAGAACAGCACAATACTTTGGTCAGTGAACCTGAATCAATTTTCATAGATCATATTTCTCCTTCTTCTGGAACATCAGAAGGTATACAAAATTCTATCATTCAGTGGTTTGAAGATAACAAAATTTCATCTGATCATTTAGTCACTGTAGGCTGTGATGGCACATAAGTCAATATTTGAAAAAAAAAAGCTGGAGTTATGCGGCTTCTTGAATTGCACTTAGGAAGACCTGTTTGTTGCATACAAATGAGTTACCCCTGTGTCATCTAATTAATCATTTTGACAGAGTAACTAAGACCATCTACTTTTTCTAGGTCTCTTGGAAAGAAACTGAAGACTTCTGAATCATTGCCTTCAGTAAACTTTGTTTCAGTCAAAATTACACAGCCATTACTGAAAATTGACCATCCTGAGGATCTTAGAACAGATAGAAAATATTGTATGACATGTGCAATGCGGTAGTGTCAGGTCATTGTTCAAGAGAACTTGCTTTATGTGACCCTGGAAAAATGAATCATTCTCGCTGGTTAACAATAGCAAACAGGATTTTGCACTTTTACGTTGCAACTGCTAACCCATCCAAGAAGCTTAGTTTGTTAGTGAGATATGTAATTGAAGTGTATGCAACAGTTTGGTTTAATATCAAGAAAAATTCCTCATGCAGTCATGGCTCACTGCACCTTTTTCTACTTGTAAGAAAATGTTTTCTTCCTGAATCAGAGAAATATATGGTGGATAGAGTAATCCGGACAAATGCATATTTTGCCCACCAATAAAATTTGCTTCTTGCAATGTTTGGAAATATTTCATAGAATATTAGCTGCTTGATCTACCTCAAATTCTAGCACAATGAGACAGTTTGTGGTTCCAAATATTAATACAACATTACACTGATTTAATAATGTGGACTGAGAGTAAAGCCACTACTTACAAAAAATATAAGCAATGAACAATTGATGTCTTTCATTAATCAAAATGACACACCACTTTTCAAGTTCAGCATGCTGTATTACAAACAAACAGTTGAAGGGCTATCATAGAGAAAAGGATTCATCAAAGCAAAACTTCAATTTAGCAAATTCATGAAAAAATTTAATACTAAGAAGCAGTACATAATCTAGTAATTCTGTTGCCCAGTGGAAGGGTGGTTGGGTGGGTATGGGTGGAACTTGACATGCAACTACCTCTTCGTGGGGAGTTCTGGGTAAGTTAGGACATAAAACTCCTAAATTAGCTACATGTTGCATATCCAAAGTTATGGTACTTTGATTTCTTCTACACTGTGATTATGGATATTTTAAGGAATTACCCCCCCTCGCAGCAGTACAAGATATAATTTTAGAAGCCTGAAACTTACCCACATAATTACTATTATTAAAAGGCATCAATCGCATATCCTGCCTATAATGATATAAGAAATTTATATTTTCGATGAACCCTAATGCACATACTTTTTTTTTGTAAAGTGGGTTATTAACTCTCTCAACACAGCCTTGGTGAATTTGACTGACCATGTGACATCTTTATATTCCTTTAAAGTCTTTATAGATTTAATACTTCTAACTTTCAATATTGTGTCTATATCTTCACAAAATTTGGCAGTCTTTCGGTTAATGTTACAAGTCTTTCACATACAAAAAATTTTAGAGAAATATTTTTAATTAAGTAAAATAAAAATTTGTCCAAGAATATATTGAGTATTTGTTTGGAATAGTTCGTGTGCAAAGTAATTTTCCTGTTAAAATTAAAAATACTCTACCTCATTTCAAAAATCTCAAATTTCCTTTGTATAATCCCTAAAACCTCTTAAATGTATTTCAAACTTTTTTTTTTCAGTAAAACTTTATAGTTTATCTGTTATTTTCTTTACCCTATCTCAAAACAGAATCGGTCAATTTGACCAACCTCGTAACCACAAAAAAAATCTAATAATCTAAATTACGTTTTTTTCTTTCTATAATGACTTCAAATTGTAACGTGAAACTACATTTGTTTATCCTAAGTAGCTCTAAGTTTGTAACAGTATATATCTGTTTATAATTAAATTTTATTATTTTATTGCCCTTTAAACCATGTCTAACTACTATCTGTGCCTTTATAAGTTGTAAATCATTCAGAGAACGTGCAGCTCATGTTATGCTATCAAATTACATTACACATGAGCTACTATGAGTTGCTCACGTGTGTGCCTTATGAAATTTTTTATTATAATATTATTATTATTTATTTTACCTAATCTAATTTTAACTAACCTTAAAGAATCCCTGTTTTTACATTTTAGTTACTTTTATGATTATACATAAAGAATAAACATGGAAAATAAGAAATAAAATACTTAACCAATCTTCTTTTTTCTTGCTGTCGATTGTTGAAGAGACTTAACCCTAATTATTGTATACTAATGATAGTAATGCACTTAATAATTTTTATTTAATTAAATAATGCACCAAACAGTATAGACTAACTACATGCAAAAAGTAGACAAATTTCCGTACCTCTCAAAAATTTTCTGGCTTTCTAACTATGTGACAAGAGTTATTACAAATTCATCCAAGCTAGTCGTTAACTTTCTTACAGGAACAGTGTTGGTACTCTGAGTGAAATTGACATTTAACCATTTAGAACATAAACAATACATTATTTGATAGATGAAAACCTTGACTGTTGGTTATAGGTAATGTATAATTAAATGTAAGAGAGAACTATTAACAAATCCTGAAAGAGAAGATGTGGCAGGAGGGGTTTGATTTTCTATTCGATGGCTCTGTAACCAAACAAAATTGAAGACTATAAAAAAATATAGTTTGTTGTAGCATTGACAATATTATGGTGATTAATTTACATTTAATTTCGTACTTATCAAGGGGGTGGTGGATAAAATAGAGGAGACAAGATGTCTAGAGAATACATCACACTATGAGAAATTGGGGATTTTTTTAAATAATGCCTTGTACAATTAAGAACTTAAAACTTGTATACTATTAAAATATGGATTATTTGCTAAGATTTTATGCTATTCTAATTAGTATAACATAAACAAAAAGTAGTTTAATAAAATTTTGAATCAAAGACACTAAAACCTTGTGTCACGTGTAGTAAAGAAAACCTTGGTGATAGAGTTAAGCAAGTGTGTTACAAACTTTATATATGCCTTCTAATATGTATATTATGTTAATGTTTACAGAGACCTTTTTATAGTGCTTGTGGCCAAACTTTTAATCAGTAAACATTATAAATAAATAGTAATCACTATAAATAGTAATAAATATTTTGTAAAAGTATTGTACTTTATATGTGCTGCTGAATGAGAAAATCTTAGTATATGGTTTAGCAGTAAAAAAATTACCAAAATTTCAATTTGAAAATGCTTTTTGGCATTTGACCTATTAAAATATGAAAGAAGAAATGTAAAATGTTCACAAAGATACAATGTTCTGTGATGATAATACTTCAGAAGAAATGAAAGGAACCACTAATATTCTGTGTTTAAAAAAGAACTTTCAAAAATAAACATACAATGAAGACAGATTAAAACAATTATTATGAATACTTATCACATTCTTTCTCAAAAACTATTTCAGTACTATATATCATCTATTTTTTGTTTTGATATGTATTTTTTCTTGTGTGTTTACGAAATTGGTTTGAGATTCTGGGATATTTTTATCAAAATGTGAAGGGAAAGTTTTATTTCTTTCTATTTTGATACATATTTTTCTTTTACATTTTTATGGTATGAGATTCCAGAATATGTTTATGAAATGTAAAAAGAGAGTTTTTTACGTCTTTATATATATATCACTGAGTAACTAGAAAATTAAATAAAAAAAACACGAATTCTTCAAACACTAAACTTGTCATATAATATTTATACTTTCTCAGAATGAAGACTTGCAGAGGT